CGAGCATAAAAGCGATTCTCCCGTAAGACAGTTTTTGTTCCATCCATCATCAGGAACTGGAAAGGACTCACAAAACGGACTTTAACGTTGAATTCGATTATTGTACTTGCCAAAAGGTGTTTACAGGCGTTCCGTGACGTCTTTAGGTCAAACGAGCAACCTTATTTGACCTCAATATTTGTAGTTGAGTTGATTGAGACTAGCTGTCACTACTGAACGAATTTTGGGGTAGCTTTTGCCACACCTATGTTCCGCTCACCACCCTTTCTCCCATTCTAACAAATATGGTACTTTTCTGGGCCACCCGAGTCGAGTAAATTGTGTTTATGCGCTTGTACGTGTCCGAACCTGCTTGTCATATGTAGACAGGGAGCCTACCGCCAGGTCGATAATCATACCTATGTCTTTGCCTCCCCCTCTCCCCTAACACTTGCAGGAGTGGGAAGTGAGATTGCTTCGGCCCATGTCGGTTTCACTATAAAACAAAGTGACGCTTACACCAGCACTTTGCCTTCTCGAGTGACGAGCATGATAGAGGCAACTCTCTATGCTAGCGTCTGATTATCCGTTGTTGGCAGTAATGGCACCGCATTCTCCCAGAAGTTTTTTTTTGACAGCTTTGAAACCCTCTACAATGCGGAAGTTTTCATCGGCGCCTATTTGTATATATTAAAAGTTATTTCGTTTTCATCTTCCAGATTGACTTGTGTTTTGACACGACCCCTTCTTCCAATTATTCTCGCCAAATTAAAACTGGTCTACTGGAATTTCCCTAAATAGAACATGAGAGGCAGAAGTCTTCGTTAGCGTTTGTAAACTTACATTCATTTAGCTTTTCTCCTTACAGATTGGTTTGTATTTTGATACGACCTCCTCTTCCAATTATTCCAGCCAAAAATAAGACTTGCCTGCTGAAAATTTTCTGGTTAGGACGACTTTTATATGCTCCCTAAACGGGGCAGAAAAACAGTAACGGCCAGCAACACGGGCGTCCCTGTCCCACAATTCTATAAAAATAGGCTTAAGGTTATCGTTATGGTAAGTAAGGACCAATTTTATGGTTAGAGTTAATGTTAATTGTAAGGTTAAGATTCGGTCTACGGTCCAGGTTTGCGTTTGGGCTAGTGTTGAGGTTAGGAGACGGCAATATATACCCTTCCTTGAATTATGCGCTGGACCACTTTATTAATTGAGCTGGGCATTCCTATTTCCCTGTCCTATTCAGGAGGCCGTATGAGTAGTCCTTACCGGTAACTGTCCTTTACGGAACGTTTTGCTATGTGTCTTTAAAAATACACATTTTGCAAATCTTCTGTACATCTAAATATATGTAAGCCTGCCGATTATGCGCTGTAGCAATATCCTGTTTTTCCAAACCGTACTTTTGACCGCTCGGACGCATTACCTAGTCTGCACAATTTTTGTTATGACTTATAAGTTAACAGTCATTTTGTTTTCATTCGTTAGATTGATTTGTGTTGTGATATGGCCCCCGCCTCCCCTTCCAATTATTCATAATAAACTAAAATTGGAACTTGGAATTATAAAGTTTGCCGCCTCCCTTTTGGATTTTTTTAGGCGTAGGTGTATTTCATCTGTGATTGTAGCAGACAGGCAGTTTTTAAAAGACAGATAAAGACCAAATTTGACTATCTTTT